TTAAGCATGGAGAATCTGACAAGCTGATTGAGGAAGTACGGACAAAACTGAAAGAGAGTGGAATAATAGACGAGAAGACAACGATTCGAGTAAATGATATCGGAAAAATGTTCAAGCTCCTGGATAAAGAGAAGGAGTTGGGCGATAAGAGAGAGATGGAAGGATTCAAGGATGCTGTGAGGGCAGCCAAAGCTGGCACGATGCAGCTCACCTTCTCTGCGACTGGTCTTTTTTTAGGAAAATAGTCACTGAATCTAAGAGGAAGTATAAGCGCAAGGGCGTTAAGAAGAATCCGGTGGCAGTTTTGATAGAGAAAGATTACAATGAGGCATTAGAGAAGGAGAGAAAGATAATTAAAAGGTTAAGAGAGACTGCATTAAAAGGAGGGAGAATTACCCCAGAGAGGTTCAAGATAATGAAGGTAGGAACCGATAACTTCCTTCTGCCGGCTGAGAGGGTTTTCATATATGAATTATGTCAGAAGTACAGTGGTGTCTTTTCTTTTAATGATGAGGAGAGGGGACGACTGGACGTTGACATGATCAAGATGGTCAAGATCTGGACCGTTCCTCACACGCCTTGGAATGACAGACCCACGAAATATGCCCAAAAGGAAGAAAAAGAGGTAATGGAGTACAAAAACCAGAAGATCGTCTCCAACGTTGCGGATCCAGCTGATGGAGCTTACGCCAATCACTGGTTTTGCTTCTGGAAGCCAGGTGGTGGCCTGCGCTGGATACAGAACTTGCAGAAGTTCAATTCGGTAACGGTTCGCGATGCGGGTAGCCTACCCAACGCGGATCTGTTAGCCGAATTTTTTATCGGAATGAGCATCTCTTCCCTAATAGACTTGTGCTCTGGCTATGACCAGTTCCCGATAAATTATACTAGTCGACCTATGACCGCCATGCATACGCCTAGAGGCCTTATACAAATGTGAGTGGTGCCTCAAGGGTGGACGAATGGGGTCGCGGTCGTTCAGCGAGACATGCTGAAGGTCATGGAGGACATATGCCCAGAGGTTACGTTTCCATACATTGACGACAATCCGGTTAAAGGTCCGAAGGAAAAGAATGAGACTTTAGTGGATGGTCGAGTCAGGCAGTTCGTATGGGAACATGCGCAGGGAGTGGCGAAAGTACTAGAAAGGTTGGCTAAATACAACCTAACAGTAAGCGGGCCGAAATCACTACTGTTCCAAAAAGAGGTAACGATCTTGGGTTTTAGGTGCTTCTTGGAAGGAAGAAGTCCTGATCCTAAGAAAGTGGATAAGCTCCTGAACTGGCCGATGCCTCTAAAAACGGTTGGGGAAGTAAGGAGCATCCTAGAGGTCTGCAGCTTCTGGCCGATCTTCATCCCCGGGTTCGCTAAGATAGCCGAGCCCCTTAGAGAAATGGTGCGACAAGGAGCTAGCTTAGAGTGGTCTGATCAAAGAGAGAAGGTTGCGCGGGTACTTCAAGATAAGCTAAGAGATGGTTGGGTCGTATTGGGAGTACCCTACTTCGATGATGAAAGAGAGAGACCCTTCATCATCGAAGCCGATGGCGGCCCGATAGCATTAGGAGGACTGCTCGTGCAGCGAGATGAGAATGGTAAAGAAAGGTCAATTAGATTTGGGAGCCGCACCCTTAATTCGGTCGAGAAAGACTATATTCAGTTCAGGAAGGAACCCCTGGCGATCCTGCACTGTCTCAAGGTATATAGACACTATGTTATGGGGCAGAGATTCATTCTAAGGACGGATTCCACAGCGGTAATCGGAGTTGTTAAGAGGCATCGGCAAGTAGATGCTACGGTCAGTAGGTGGATAGCTCACATATGGACGTATGATTTTGTGCTAGAAAAAGTACCTACTGAAAAGAATCGAGCCGATGGATTGAGCCGCTTAGAATGGGGGTCAATAGATGATGAATCTCTTGAGGAGAAACCCTTCGTTGATGAATTCCTTATGGAAGACGATAATGAAGGACTACCTCCAGCTCTCAGTTGTTATACAGCCTCAGCCATTACATCGAGCAGAGAAGACTGCTGGGGAGAAAAGGAAGACCCTTACCTCCACTACCTTCTAACTCGAGAGGATGAAGAGGAAGGATGGTACAGGATGGTGGAACAAGCCGCGATTGCAACTCATGAGCTGGCAGAGAGTTCAAGGATGGTTGAGCGAAGGCTGAATGAGATAGAGGAAGAGCCAGAAGACCCTGAGCAAGATAAAGACGCCGAAGAGAGATTTAGGAAGGATGAGTATGATGGAGAAAATAAGAGGATCGGTATGATAATAAGAAGTAATCAGTTGGATGAATTCTACCATGAGAAAACAAAGAGAACCTTTAAGCTGCGTAGGGGTCACTTTTTTGTGGATGCAAAGGAAGGACTACCGCCACTGAGAGTAGTATGTGGTAAGGGAAGGCAACTAGAGGTGATCGCCGCACTGCATGAGGGTCTAGCAGGGGGTCATAGAGGTGTTGATGCTACATACTATAAAGTATCTCGACTATATCACTGGGATGGTCTAAGGAATATAGTTATGAGATATTGTAAGTCATGTGAAGCCTGTCAGAAAAGGTCATCTATGAGATTGATTGAACCCGTATACCCCACTGTTCTTGTTGAACCTGGCAGTACTGTTCACCTTGATCTAATTACTATGCCATCTGGTAAGGATGGAATGAAATATGTACTGAACATGAGAGATAACATGTCTGGTTATGTTGAAGCAAAAGCCATCCGTAAGAAAACTGCAAAGACAGTGGTAGATTGGATCGAGGAAATCTACCTGAGGTACTCCTTCATACGTAAGTTTGTGGCTGATCAGGGGTCAGAGTTCAAGAACGAGATGGTAAGGAGGCTCATGTTCAGACTTGGAGTCAGGATCAGATTTGTGACACCATGTCATCCTCAAGCTAATGCACCAGTGGAAAGAGGCCAAATGATACTAAAGGATGCTATATCAAAATGGTGTCAAGGCGACTCCAGGAACTGACCATCTTTCTTGAGGGCGGCGGTCTATGCTAACAATGTGACTGTCAAACGGACTACAGGTTATTCGCCCATTACACTCTGGTATGGCAGATATGCTACTTCTCCCATTGAGAACCTGGTTGAGACCTGGACCCATGAGGCACAGAGAGGGTCGTACTCCACGGAGGAGTTACTGAGGCTGAGGATCAGGCAGATCAAGGAAGTGGATGAGGTCATAATTGAGGCCACAAAGAGGATGTCAGACAGGAGATTATCTGATCAGACATGGTGGAACAGCAAGAGGTACATCAGGAAGGAACGACTTCAGGTCGGAGATATTGTACTGCTGCATAATACATCTCTCGAGACACAGTGGACCAAGAGATTGGAGGCCAGGTGGATGGGACCATTCAGGATCATCAGAGAGGTTGAAGGCAAGGCCTATGAGTTAGCAGAGATGGATGGTACGAGATCCCATGGTATAGTATCCGACTCCCGGCTCCGAAAATTCATACTTAGAGACGTAGATTTGATTCTGAGTTTGGACAGAGTGATGAGGCGAGGCCCGAGAGTCGTCTAGCATCAACCCAAACATGTTCAGACGTGGTCAGTGTGCCCTGAGCATATGCTGGGATGTGGACAGTGTGCCGCCAACATCAGTTGATGGCGATTATATGCTGGGATGTGGACAGAGTGCCACCAGCTTCAGTTGATGACGATTATATGCTGGGATGTGGACAGAGTGCCGCCAGCTTCAGTTGATGACGATTATATGCTGGGATGTGGACAGAGTGCCGCCAGCTTCAGTTGATGACGATTATATGCTGGGATGTGGACAGTGTGCCGCCAACTTCAGTTGATGACGATTATATGCTAGGATGTGGACAGTGT